CCACAAACTCTAGACTTTGAAAAAAGAAGCAGAGTTAAAAATAAGTCACGACGAAGTAAGCTAGGTTTGACCAATGAAGGCTCGTTAAGGCATGTACTGTTGGATATATGCTCTTTTGGTCACTAAAGTCCTATTGGGCTTCAGTGACATTTGAGCCCATGAGGCTTAGGGTTGAGTTATGTCTAAGACCTAAGCGTATATATTCATAGTTTTCTCCTCTTGTGCCTCCAAGGTGAACAGATCATCAGAAACAAACCCAAGAGGCAGACGTTCATCATCTGAACGGTTGCCCACACAACCATCTCATCCTCCTCGAGAGATAGTCTGGAAGATCGATCATAGAGGGAACAACTATTGTTTGTGGTCACATAACTACGCCCTTCCATGTAATCAAAACGATGAAGGTTAATCTTTTCCCTCGTCGTGTCGGTTCGATGCGCTTCTGCATTTTTGGTGAGATTCCTACATGTACCGGCCAAACAAGTGCCCAAAAAATTACGATTTGAGGCCAAGGTATAATCTTCGCCCTTATAGATACTATACGCAACGCAAAATAAGTCGACTTTTAAACAGTCAGCATAGCAAAAAACATGAAAAGAGGCAAAAGGTCACGAGCCGCGTCCGAACAACTTAAAAAAGGATGTTTCTTGTGAACCAGACAATCTGGTCCAAACCATGTTTGGCTGACCAGGCACGCCTATATTGCCTCAAGCGGTTGAGACGGCAGCAAGTAGCTACATAAAGACTATCACATTTTAGTAAAAGATGAATTATTCGGCAACATTCTGCCTACACTGAGATAGCGACAAATCAAACCAATACTAGACTTAAGGCCCAGATATAGAAGCTGGGGTAGATAGTAAAGACCCACAATTAAACGTGGCAATCCTAGAATTTGGGTTACTAGCCTTACACCCACGAGAATCCTATAAAGTGGTACAAATTAAACGCATGTCTCATTTTAATTGGAAGTCATTGAAATATTTAACTAACGCCTCTATCTAAATAAATAAATATAATATGATCATGTAGAGAATCATAACCATATAAAAATAAATCAACGATGATAAAAAAAAGAAAAAATATATTAAAATAAATAGTTACAAAATCATAACGATTAATCTTCTCACGTAATCATATTATATATTTTTTTAACACGAGGGATACATTTAGATAACAAATTAGAAGGTAACACAAATCCACTATGATTAGCCTAGTGGTGTGGGGTGTGTGTGTTAGGTGTATGTAGTGTAGGGGTGTGTGTTTAATTCCCATATAATGCAAAAAAGAAATTAGAAGGTAACATGGAAATTTCGTTATTCACAGCTATTTCTATTCTCTTCGACGATGGCAACTCATCTGCTAAGGCTTTCTCTCTCTTCGCAACAGAAGCTCTGCTTAGCTATTGCGTATCATGTTGTTTCCCAAGAATAACTTTTTTTCAGTTTCATTATTTAATTTTATTTTACAGCCCATATTATTTAATTTAGTTTATATTTTACCACTTGAAACTTAGATATAGATACTGGATCTTTTGTTTTAATCTATGTTGATAAAAAAAAATGGTTATGGAAGGTTAATATTTATTATGTTTTAATATATTTTTATATAAAAAATATTAAGTATTATGCCTGCAAAAGTGAAAATAATAATTATGAGGTAATCACTTCCGTATAGCTTTTTGTACAATTGAGTTATTTGTTAAATGAGTCATATGTTTTTTCTAATATAATTTTGATTGGACTATAATTTTTCAATGAGTTATGATATTTATTTTAGCTACTGCAATCAAAGCTAAAAACAATTCATTGAAGACAAAAATAAATAAACCAACAACCATTAATCACATTGATTCAATTTTCAATTTGTTAGACACAAAGTAGTTTAAATTTTCTAATATAATTTGGGAATAATTTGTTATAGTGTAGACTGTAAAATAATTTTTTTTTTCTTTTTGGAAAACGACTGTAAAATAAATTTAGATAACAGAAATTGTAACAATAAATTAAATATTGTAAAAGAAAAGACTTTTATTAGATCTAATATTCTTCGTTTGTCATATTAGTTTTTTTTTTTTGGTAAATAAAAGGAGGACTAAGCCCCCCAAAAAAACAAAAAAAAAAACGAAAAAACAACAACTACGAATTACAACGTAAAACACGAGATCTTCCCACACTAGTCATATCAACATTAAGAAGCGGGATCAGTCCAGGAGGAGGCTCCCCCCACACTAAACGGTCTTCCTGAGTACTATGATCAATAATAAAATTTGCTAACTAATCTGCACAAGTATTTGCTTCTCTTAACGTGTGCTGAATAATAACAGACCAGCTTCTATCCAACCAAGTTCGTATATGAGAGATCAAATGATTTTCACGGACTGCTACACCACTTCTGGTTAGCAGAGTGACCACACTAGATAAATCACTCTCAATCATAACCTTGCGGAACCCAGCATTCCACGCCATTTCTAAACCCTGCAAAACTCCCCACAGAGAATAAGCAAGAGTTTACTAGAAAGGTAAAATAAATATATTTTTTAAAATTTTAACAATATTATAAATAGACTTAGATGGAAAAAACATACAAGATAAAAAAAAATGAAAGTTATACTTATAATCTATTTTCGTTTATAACCTCTTATAACTATATCTTATAACTATTCACAATAAATGAAGATTATTATTTATTGTAAATTAATAATTAATTAATGAAATTATTTTATGTAAATAATAATTATTGATTGCAAAAATCAATGGTTAAGATATAATTATAAAAAATTATAAATAAAAATAATTTATAAATATAACCTTTCTATAAAAAAAAATATAAAGAATAAATGATTCAAAGGAAAAACATAATTTTGTTTTAACTTTTTCCTACAAAATTTATAGCGCTTGTTACTGTTGGCTGTTGTATACATGCTGTCTCCGTTGCACGGACACACGCAAAATTTTGTAAAATTTGCGTGTCGGACAAGTATCCGACACGGACACGTTCTGACACACTTGGACACGTGTCTGACACGCGGTCAACATTTGGAGACATGCGGTCAACTCTCCAACACGTGGTAAATATTTAGGGACACGCAGTCAACATTTGGAGACACGCTCGGATACGTTTTTTTTTATTATTATTATTATTTTTTAAATCTTAATTTTATTTTGTTAACTAAATATAAAAGAAATAATTTATAAATTAATTTTTTTCTGTTATGAAATTTGACATTAAAAATTAACAAAGTACGAAAAATTATTTATATTTATATTTATGTTATGAAATTTAAATATTTGATTGGTTATATGACTTATTATGGATTCTTATATGTATTAAATATAAATTATATTATATATATTAAAATTTTTATTTAATATCTAAACGTGTCCAGATATGATATTTTTTAGAATTAACATGTCAGCGTGTCGTGTCGTGTCGTATCTCGTGTCCGTGCCCGTACATTATGATGTGAGGGGCAAAAAGTGAATATTAATTTTGTACGAAAGAGTAATGGAATATACTTATTTTTGTTCCTGGGTACTGGACACGTGTCTTACGAAGAGATGGTTTATTTTTATCGGTAGCAGTGGGATTGTGGGAGTAGGAAAGGCTGGAATATCAGAGAACGCAATTACATAACAGAGATCACTCGAATAAAGAGTTAGGACTTGAGAATGGAAAAGTTAGGTGACTTGGATCCGCTGACGTGGAAATCTTAACCTTCAAAACACAACAGGGATATATCAGTCAATTCCGCAAATGCGCAACACTACACAACTATGAACTAACACATTTCACACAGCATAAGTCATATGTGTCAGCTTTGGAAGTTGGAACTGTAACAATGTAATGTTCCTCTGTGAACTATTACGTTACAAACAAACCTTCCTGTTACATGTGTGAGCTTTGGAACTGTAACACAGTATTGTTCCGCTGTCAAGTCCTACGTTACACACTAGTCTGGAAAAGTAAAGGAATAAAAAATATTTTTAAAAAGCCCAAAAATCAAATAAATAAAAGGGTAATAATAAATAGAAACTGATTCATTCACGAAACATGCCGCAACCTAGGGGAAAAAGACAAAAATGCTTTAAATTTAAGTTACAAAATCACAATGAATTTTTAATACAATACATCCTTTTAAGAATATTGTCCTAAAAATTGAATGATATCATAAAAAATTGTTTCAATTTAATGCTATAATAAAAAATTGTTTCAATTTAATGCTATAATAAAAAATTGTTTCTATTTAATGCCATAATAAAAAAATTGTTTCAATTTAATTCTATAATAAAAAATTTATTGCTATAATAAAAAAATAGAAAAAATATTTGTCCTTATAAAAGATGATCCTTACTAAATGATGGAAACCACGTTAGCAATGTCAAGAAACTGAACATGTGAGGATAAGAGCATGTGAAGTTAAGAATTTAATCCTGGGACCGTTTCAAATTTGACTAGTCACAAGATGATAAATCGATTTGAATATCTTAAAAAAAATTCTTTTAGTTAAAATTATTATATTTTATTTAAAATTTAAATTAAAAAAATCTTACACTTTCTTCTCTCAGAGTTTTTATTGTGTATTTTTTTCTCTTCTTTTTCAAATAATACAATTCTACATCCCTTTGCAAGCAAAAACATTCATTCCTAAAAGAATATGAAGTGAAAAATAAAATAAAACAAAGAAAGAAAGATTGAGCGGAGCGGCGCCGTCAAGCGAAATCAACCTTAGTCCTTGGCTATAAGTAGGTGAAGAAGAACATCACAATTCACAAATCAAGCAATTTGACTTGTTCACCAACTACTGTATCCCAGTTCTGATAATACCATTAGAATTTATAATTGACGAAAACACCCTCCCCCCAACAACCCCCTTCCCCTCGTCATCATCTACAAAGCCCTCGTTCTGTAATTGAAGCACCTCAGGCTCAGAGAAATCAACCTCTTTCTCTTTCTCTTTCTATTTCTTTCTCTCCGCTAAAAGAAACAACCAAACCACAATGGCTGTTGCTTCTTCCAACTCTCTCATTCCCGCAAAATCCTTACTCCCAACCCACCATTTCCTTGTTCCTCCCTCCAACCTTAACAACCAATGCTGCTTCCCCAACAAGCCCAGGCCCAAGCCCAAGCCCAGGCCCGTACCTTCCATCCACGCCGCCGATAAGTCCCCCACGCCATCGACCTACACCAGTGAGGCAAAGTGGACCCTGGACGGGTGGAAATCGAAGAAGGCCCTTCAACTTCCCGAATACCCTAACAAAGAGGACCTCGAAACGGTGCTGAGGACACTGGAAGCGTTCCCTCCGATCGTGTTCGCCGGAGAGGCTAGGAACCTGGAGGAGCGGCTAGGCGAGGCTGCCATGGGCAAAGCTTTCCTTCTGCAAGGTGGAGACTGTGCCGAGAGCTTCAAGGAGTTTGATGCTAACAACATTCGTGACACCTTCAGAATCCTTCTCCAGATGAGCGTTGTTATGATGTTTGGAGGCCAAATGCCTGTTATAAAGGTTGGAAGAATGGCGGGTCAATTCGCAAAACCGAGATCGGAACCGTTCGAGGAGAAAAACGGCGTGAAGCTGCCGAGTTATAGAGGTGATAATGTGAATGGAGATGCATTTGATGAGAAGACCAGAATTCCTGATCCACAAAGAATGATTAGAGCGTATACTCAATCCGCAGCGACTCTTAATCTTTTAAGAGCTTTTGCCACTGGAGGGTATGCTGCTATGCAAAGGGTCACCCAATGGAATTTGGACTTCACACAGCATAGTGCACAAGGAGATAAGTGCGTGCAACTCCATTCTATTTTTTCTTTCTTTTTTAAATACTATTCTCTTTTTCTCTCTTTCTTGAATCGGGGTGTCAATTTCTTTATGAGTAGAGAAGCAATAGTTTTATTTTGGGTGAGAACCTATTCATTATTTTGGTTGTTGAGTTTGTTTTGCAGAACATTTTTGCATTTAATCAGAAATTAAGAATGTATTACACGGTTTTTTCACTGTTGTTTTTTACGTAGACAAAGTCATGTTATTGGTGTATGATTTTTTTATGTTGTCAGTGGTACGTCATTTTCATCGCCAAGGGTTACACTAGGCTCGCCCTCTAAGTTAAATAAATAAATAGAAGAAAATTAATGATCACTATTTTTCCTTAATCACTTCTCTACTTCCAGAAAATCTAGATTGGCCTTCTTTTGTTTGTTTTGTACGAGATATGGTAACAGGATATATATAAAAGTGATAAGAAATCCATCCTTGTTTTGATAAATGGTAAATTAAACATTATGGCCCGAATCTAAAGTTCATTAGCAACTTTACCTCATGAATCTTGTATGTTTTATTCATGAAACAAGTTCTTATTAGCTATTATTCCATGTATTAAATTTTAGTTATGTGCGTTATCATTGTTTCTTACTTTAAAAACATTTTTAATATTATAAGTTTGCCAAGAACAAGAACACACTATACACTGTGTTAATCCATGTTTCTCGAGGTAAATTAAATCTGTTCTTGGCATGGCAGGTACCTAGAGCTTGCTCAACGTGTTGATGAGGCCCTTGGATTCATGGCTGCTGCTGGCATCACTGTTGACCATCCTATTATGAAAAAAACCGAGTTCTGGACTTCACATGAATGTTTGTTATTGCCCTATGAGCAATCACTTACACGATTGGACTCAACTTCGGGTCTTTATTATGATTGTTCGGCACACATGCTTTGGGTTGGTGAGAGGACGAGGCAGCTTGATGGCGCTCACGTCGAGTTTCTCAGAGGGGTTGCCAATCCCCTAGGAATTAAGGTTTGGACATGAATATTCTTCTAAACCTACCAATATACTGCACTTTCATTTTATGAAGTCATAACAAAGCATTCTATTGGGATCTCAATGTTTCTTTAGCCTCGAGTGATTGATTTTTAATTCCTTCCCATGAAGGCATGTGAGTTTCTTGATTTGAAGTTGAATATTATAATTGATAGATAAATTGGCATCATACTCTACAGGCAAGCGAAAAGATGGACCCCGACGAGCTTGTTAGACTCATTGAAATCTTGAATCCCAATAACAAACCTGGAAGAATAACTGTTATCACCAGGATGGGAGCTGAGAATACGAGGGTAAAGCTTCCACAACTAATCAGGGCAGTTCGCAGATCCGGGCAAATTGTGACATGGGTCAGCGATCCTATGCATGGCAACACCATCAAGGCTCCGTGTGGACTCAAAACTCGCCCCTTCGATGATATCAGGGTACGTACAATATATTCTTGTAACTAATTCTCTTTTGATTTGTTGTAAAGCATAAATTCTTTCAGGTGGTTTTTTAATTAACGTAGATATGTTTGGATTGAAGTCATGCATGTTAGTTATTGCCTTTTTTGTGGAGAGTGGGAAACAATTAGAGCACCAGTAGAGGTATTTTCAGTGGCTTTTAATGCATGGTTTTGGCCTGCCGAATATAGTTGTTGAAGGTTTAATATTCGAACTGGTCATAAACGGTGGGCTACCAAATCTGAAGGTTATATTTATAAACCGGAATATTGGGTAGGTCGCAAAAGATCTGCTTGTAGAATACTGAAGTTAAGGTATTCAAGTTGTTATTTGATTATTTCATCAATTAACTCATTTTGGAGTTGGGTTGGCATCTCTTTATCAATCAGTGGTGTGATAAGACATATGGGGCCCATTTAATTGTGAATTTTTTTTTTTATTATTATTACTTTCAATCACCAATAATCTATCAACCTTAAGTACTAGCTGTGATAGTTCTTACCAACTATAGAGAAAGAAACACAAATTGGTTCACAAAAGTATTGATATTTAATATTTGATAATTGATGCCTCTAATTTCTTTTTTAATTTCAATGACAGGCGGAGTTGATAGCATTCTTCGACGTGCATGAACGAGAAGGAAGCCACCCGGGTGGGGTTCATCTAGAGATGACGGGTCAGAATGTGACCGAATGCATTGGGGGGTCAAGGACGGTCACGTATGATGATCTTAGCTCACGTTACCATACACACTGTGACCCTAGGCTTAATGCTTCACAATCTCTCGAGCTTGCTTTCAACATCGCTGAACGGCTCAGAAAGAGTAGGATCAGATCTGATGAGCAGCCTATTTTCTCCCTAGGACGACTGTAAATGGCTTTGAATATCAACAAAATGACTTTGCTCTTTTTCCCTTTTAATTAATATATGCAGCCAATCAACAATGTTATTATTATACATGGACATGGACCATTCAGCTAGTAAGCCTGTATTGTGTACTTTATTTGAATGTGTTAATTGCGAAGTATATTGCGACTGTGTTTTGGAATTATTTTGGTGGATATGCAATTGACAACCAGAATCCATGCGGACAAAGAACTAGACTACCCTTGTACTTCTACAACATGAATCCTTTTCTGATATTTCAATGCGTGTCAAGCTTTTATATGATGCGATTGCGAGTCACAGATTTTTCCGGTTTTGATGGTACGATATCCGTCAATATTAGGTTGTCTTCAAAGTGATGTTTACAGGCTACAGCTTGGCTTACTAGTTCAATATATATTTTATGAAATTTATTTAAGAAGTTAGTTGAAGTATTAATAAATATAAATGTTAAATTAAAAGTAAATTATTTATTTTATATATATATATTAATTCGAAAAGTATATGTAGTATATTAAATGTTTCTCAACTAATTTCGATATTTATTAATAAAACTTCTTTAAAAGGCTTTTGTTAACATGTACGCATGTTAAGACAAAAATAAAATTTTATTAAAAAAATACAAGCATTTAATGTTTTGAAAATTTAAAGAAAAAATATTGTCATTCGTAAGTTATTAATAAATACTATTTTGATTTTTTTTTTTTTTTTTAAATAAAGAGGGCTAAGCCCCTACTATTTTGATTCTTTAACAATAACAAAGTGTGAAAAAAGTGCCGAAATCTCATTTTGATAAAGTAATCCAGCTCCCGCTGGCTCAGCATTACACGCTGTGGCATTTGGCATTTTTTTTTATCAAAGGGTAGCACTTTGGTTCTTGTGTCCTTTGAAGGGAGCACTGAGCCTGTTTTATGATTAAACCTCTTCATAAGAAAGACCTATAGTCCTATACTATTATTTTTAAGTAACGTTATATCCAAAAAAATTTATCAACAAATGCTTAGTGCCTGTTTGGATCATCTTATTTTTAAGTTAGAAGTTACTTATAAGTATAAATTAGGCCAAACAGATTTTGTGAAAAGTTCTGATAATGAAAAGCTCTTTTTTTTATAATGAAGAAAAAAACTGAAGACTAAAAGCTCCTCCTAGGAGCTTTTTTTGAAGCTCTTATATGCTTTCTTGAATTGTGTTTTTTTAAATGAAGGGTGATAAAGATAGAGAGAGGAATAATTTTCTTGAAATATGTGTTTTTAAGTTATTTTTAAGCTAAAAATTTTATGTAATTTCCAAACAGCTTTTATCTTTAACTTATAAGTAGCTTCTAACTTAAAAATAAGAGGATCCAAACATGTTCTTAAAAATGTTTTATAGTGTCCAGTGTTAAAATGTTACACATATTGCATGAATAACCTCAAATGTTAAAATCACATCACGAATTATTTCAATATCAAATCCCGTTTAACAATATATATATATATTGTGGGCATTTAACAAGATGGCACCGTAGAATTAATACTGGACACTTACCACCAATAAAAGCTATTCACTCGGAATTGATCACTCCATTAGCATTTTTTTTTTTTAAGTTAAAGGGCCTAAAGCCCATAAGAACAAGAGACAAGTTCAAACAATCCTAATTATGCGAGACCTACCCACAAACAAGCTGCTAAAAACAAGAGATTAGGGTCTGTTTGATTGTGTTTTGGTTTTTTTGTTCTTAAAACTGTTTTGTAGAATAATTATGGAAACAGTTGTTTTCTATGTTTTTTTTATTTTGAAAGTTAAAAATCAAAACAGAAAACAAAAACAACTCAGACATGTTCTCTAAATTTGATTCTAAAAACAAAAAAACAGTTACAGTTTTTAAAACTTTTTTTACAAAACAGGCCTTACCAAACGAATTTTTTTGTTTTTTTGTTCTAAAAACTAAAAAACTGTTTTTGAAAACAGTATTCAAACAGAGCCTAAGGCCCGATTGATTTGTGTTTTTAAAAACAATTTTTAGTTTTGAAAAACAATAAATCTTGTTTGAAAACCTGTTTTCATGCATCATGTTTTAAAAACCGTGTCTGTTTTTTAGTTTTGGAAATCGAAAAAGCAAAATAGGCTCTGTTTGATTTCTGTTTTGCAAAACAGTTTTTTAGTTTTCAGAACACAAAAACTAAAAAACTCGTTTGGTAACACCTGTTTTGTAAAAAATATTTTGAAAACTATAACTGTTTTTTTGTTTTTAAAATCAAATTTAGAGAACATGTCTGAGTTGTTTTTGTTTTCTGTTTTGGTTTTTAACTTTCAGAAAGAAAAAAAGTATAGAAAACAACTGTTTCCATAACTATTTTACAAAACAGTTTTAAGAACAAAAAAACCAGAACACAATCAAACAGGCCCTAAGTTTTACATGTTTTCCAAAGTTGTTTTGTGGTTTTTAGTTTTGTGCGGTGGCAATTTGGTAAATAAGGAGATTCATTAATGGCATTTTTATAATTAAATCGATTTTTTTTTTAAATTATTTTGCGGTAGCATTTTTGTAAATATGAGAATTCATTAATGGCATTTTTGTAAATAATTACATCTTTTTTATAACTTTTAAACTAACCATATTCAAACAAGTTTTATTGTTTTTTTACTTTTAAAATCAGTTTTCAAACTTCATTTTTTAAACCGTTTTTAAAAACAAAAAAAACAAAAACACGACACCCTAAATCCAGAAGAAAGGAATCAAAGAACTTGTGATCTTACAAAACACTGAATGAGAAGGTGATTCGCGAGCCTGTCTGTATAAGAATTGCTTCTGTTTCATTTAGACACACCATAGTTTAGGCTGTCATGCCGGAATTCGAGTTATTATATGCTACTATCGGGCAGCATTAATTGCTGCTACAAATTTTTCTGTGAATTTTCCCCTATTATTTTAACGTGATGCTACTAAACATCAATGCTGCTATTTTTTTTTTTCTACCTTAAAAAGTTTCTTCGTGTTCTTTGGGTAAGAAACAATCCTAGTATCTGTTGAGTCATATACTGGACAGTTAATAAAAGCGCTTTTTGAAAGGCACCTATCACCTGGGATAAGTGAGTATAACATCAGGTAATTTATTTTTATTTAAGTCTCCAAATTAATAAAAAGCTTAATTAAAAAGGCATAAACTTTAATAACATGCTCCTGAAAATAAATATTTACCAACGACAACTTGGTAAAAATGTGTTTGTAATTTGTGTTATGGACCAGTTGTAAGAACCCGCACCGTTAATTAAGGAAGTTAATTAATTAATTATGTGAAATTAGAAAATAATTCTATAATTGACCCTAATAATTATTATGAGGCTCTAATAATTATAGTAAGTGAGTAAGAATGCTGAAAGTCGCTTTTCGGAAGAAAAATGCAGATACCGGTTCTGTTAGTCGGTATAAATGCATATAGAAAAAGTATCCCAAAAAATTATAATAAGTGCTTGATAATTACTAGAATAATATCTAGGACTTGTAAAACGAGTTTCAAGTCAAAATAATGAGAACTGGAGCCAGAAACTGGTACTGGCTGTGAAAAGCGCGTACCGAAAAGGTGCTCCAAAAATTATAAGAAAAATATGATAATTCTTGTAAAATTGAGTAGGTTAAGAATTCATTGTTTGGGATTAAAACGCTAAGCGTAACAATTAAAATTAATACTGTGTGTTAATTGGTTAAGTGGCTATATATAGCCTTGGCACATGATCCTAGGTCTGGTTTTGGGTGGCTATATATACCCCGTATATATCCGGTAGTGTTATCATTACATCGTATTAAGCGGTGCTTAATTAAAAATGCGGAATATTCTTTTTCTTTTCAATTATGACGTCATTATCAATTACCATCTTGATTACTTAATCAATTTCATAAAATATCGCCCGTATGTAAATTGCAATAAGACATCTACTGAAATACCTCAATATATAAATAAAGTGTGTATCTAAATCACGGCATTACATCTCGTAATCCGGAAATATCCTGATACATTATTATAACTCCCAAAAGACTCAAGACGAAACAATACTATGTGTCATGAACAATCCCCATGCTCACCAAATAAACAGCGTAAACAACAAGTCTTAACATAAAACTCCATAAACATGAACTGAAGCTATAAGCATATAAGCAGCATGCAAATCCAGCATCCAACATGTCAGCATAAATAACAACAAATCTAACTCAGCTCCGGCCTCCTGCAGCCTGAGGTCTCAACATTACCTGATCCTGAAATAAGTATTCCCCAAACGTGGGGTGAGATCTCTAAACAAGAAATCTCAGTAAGACAAGGGTTCCTCAAGGATCTTCCACCCCAAGCTCACTTACATATGCAATATAAGTTCTAAAAGCATTTATATCATTATCAGTTCCAAAACTATGTAGTGCAACAGATATCTATGGCATGTGTGTTTATCACTATCTACTGGCCAGAGAAATGTAGGAATACGTCTATGCCTACATGTAGTACAAGGAACACCGCTTGCACCTCACCCACAGCCTCACCCTATTGTATGTTCTACATACTCAGGCTTACCGTATAGGTGGAACACCTCCATGCATATCAACAAGGCACTAATATACAATAGCTCAACAGCATTTCCAAAACATCAAAAGCATGTAACACAGCATGCATACTCCCTTGGGACATGGTGGAACCACAACATGGCTAAACCGAGGACACGAAAGCTTATCTTGCAAGCTCACTATCGAAAGCCAAGAGTCCTCACAGCTCAAGTCCAGCACACAGCAGATCACAATCTGATTTAGGACCAGCAAGTGTATCAACATACATAACTCAACGTTCTCCTTAACGATTTACGTCTTAAGGCTTCCAACAAAGCCACAAGCCCTTAATCACATGATTCTGACTTAGTCCATTAATTACAGAAGTTCAACTTCATCAATCTAGGGTCCACAAACCCCCAATAGCCTACTGTACACACAACACAACTACTGTTCTACGAAATCCCAGAATATCCGG